AGTGCTGGTAGCGACAGAAACTGTGGGGAACCATGCAAAAAACGCATTTTCGCAAGGGCGGGCCGTTCGTTGGCCAATTATTTGTCGTGGGCAAGGCCGAAGTAAAGGGGGGAAGGGAGAGTGGGATTAAGGAAACTTTGTTAATGCGGGCGCATTTCACCGTTTTGCAGTAGTAAGTTGATAAAGAAAACTGATTTGCTGGAAAAGGGTGCTATCTTTCACTGTCTTCGAGGTGATCTTGAAATGTAATAAATGGCTTGTAAACGCGAAGACGACATTCCCGAGCCAGTGAGCCAGCGTTCGCGTTTCCACAGAAGGTTGAATTCCTTATCGATGGGCAAAAGATTTGATTAAAACTGCAAATTCCTCTGGCATCGATTTATCGTCGCTGGTGTACATCCCTTGCAAATTTGTTTCGCATGCGTTCGTTCTAGTCTCTGTAAAGCGGTTCGTGGGGAAGCGAACCTGCGCTGATTTTGGGATTCTTGAGCTTTTCGGGTCACGCTTAACTTTGGTCTGACTAACTTACGTGGGTCAGGATGAGCCCGGAATTCTGTGCGTGTGATATACTGCAAATTTCAGCTTTCAAGTAAAAAATGACATGGGACGGGCAGGGGGTCATGTTATTTCGTTACTGGACAAATTTGCTGGATGTTCGAGTTTGCCGATGACCTAAAATTGTTCGAGGGACTGGTGCATGATGAAGTTCGGGGGAGTTTGCCGAAAAGTAGTGGTGCTGGATTAGTTACAGAGTGCTGGAGGGGGAGAGGGACGAGGAGCGATTTGGAAAGGGGTGCACTGGCGGAGGAAAAAACCAGTCTAGCAAAGGAAGCAGTGCGGCGTTCCTCTTCACCACTGGTATTGTTGTTGTTACCAGACAGGTGTACTGATGTGCGTCGTAGGACTGGCACCAAGAGATTGTGTTTTCTGCACCACCTCCCCCTCCCTGATTTCCAGAATCTGCCACTCATCTTCTATCCCGTTTGCCGACATCTCCTCACGTTCTCCCTCACCACAGTCAGTAATCATGGGCAACGCGCACTGGCCGGGCCCATGCGATCGTGCGTTTTTGCAGTGTTTCGTGCTCCAATAAGATCACTCGAAATCCCGCTAGTTAGAAACCTCTTGTACATAGTGGTCCTCGAATTTCGGGAAGTTAATTATCCACGCTATAATTGGACAAGGACCATTCCCTTGAAATCCCAGGTTCCCAGCTTTCTCAGTTCCCGAGTTACCCAAATTCCAGCCAGAAATTTCACTGGGGCCGTACGTGCAACCACGCATATTGGGGGGCTGAATTTGATAAATTTAAGTTGTAGATGAGTTGGGAACATTTCCTGAAGTTTCAGCCTCCCAGCTTTCCTGGTTCCGGAGTTAGCCATTTTCCCGCCAAAAACTTCCACGGGGCCGTACGCGGGAACTACGAATCCCCCGGGGCTGAATTTGAAATCTTTGAGTTCTACTTGGAGTGGAAACATAATCCCAAAGTTTCCAGCTTTTCTGGTTCTCGAGTTAGAGTTTTTTCCGTCACAACTTTGAAGCGCTCGTACGCGAGGCCTAGACGTGCTTGAGGGTTGGTACCGCG